CCTCAGCGGGTTCAGGCCCCCATTCCCAGTGTAGTCGTATAGCGGGACTCGGACTTCCTCAGCGGGGTTCAGGCCCCCATTCCCAGTGTAGTCGTATAGCGGGACTCGGACTTCCTCAGCGGGGTTCAGGCCCCCATTCCCAGTGTAGTCGTATAGCGGGACTCGGACTTCCTCAGCGGGGTTCAGGCCCCCATTCCCAGTGTAGTCGTATACGGACTCGGACTTCCTCAGCGGGGTTCAGGCCCCCATTCCCAGTGTAGTCGTATAGCGGGACTCGGACTTCCTCAGCGGGTTCAGGCCCCCATTCCCAGTGTAGTCGTATAGCGGGACTCGGACTTCCTCAGCGGGGTTCGGCCCCCATTCCCAGTGTAGTCGTATAGCGGGACTCGGACTTCCTCAGCGGGGTTCAGGCCCCCATTCCCAGTGTAGTCGTATACGGGACTCGGACTTCCTCAGCGGGGTTCAGGCCCCCATTCCCAGTGTAGTCGTATAGCGGGACTCGGACTTCCTCAGCGGGGTTCAGGCCCCATTCCCAGTGTAGTCGTATAGCGGGACTCGGACTTCCTCAACGGGATTCAGACCCATTCCCAGTGTTTCCCATCGTACGTTTTTAGTGCTTGTGTGGTTCGGGGCCTCAGTAACGGTTTCACGCTTTCGGTATTAAAGCGGCTTCTCTTCTTCGACGAGGTCGCTTGGATAGCCGCTTTTCGTCGACTTACAACATTGCGGCGGGATGTGAAGTGAGTGTCCGATGCTCGCAATGATGTGCCGTTTGAAGATGTTGGTTTCGCGCGATGCTATTTGAGATCCAGGTCGGCCTTTTCCGCATTTTTGCGTCTTACAGATTCCTTTCTTCTCATATCGTTATTATGTTGTAAATTGACCTGCGCAAAGCATTCACGGAGCCAAGCAGTTTGCCGTGAGTGATGTTCCCTTGGACCGGGGCTGGCTGGCAATAGTCCTGAAGCTGCTGGAGTATCCAATTGAGATGTGAGATGGAGTCAGTGGCAGTACTTGCTATCAAAAGCACTGCCTTAAATTAAGGTACAATTCTGCATCGCACTGCGAAAATGGTTCTTCGCATCCCAGAAACCATATGTTAAAGATTAAAGTTTGCGACAAGTTCTGGTCGTGAACCTTTGTGTACCACCAACAACGCCGTCATCAAGCCATGACCGTACCTTGTTGGAATGAGTGTGCGGAGCGCCGGGGTTCCCACAGCTTTCAAACATGGCACGCAATGCCCTGGGCCCTTTGGCCGAAGTGCAGACGCCACTTGAAGGGGCGTCGTTTCCGTCCGCCAGCCGCCTGCCATCAAGCTCTCGCCCCGGCGATAGAGCCGCCCGGGGAGGACCGGTGCTCTCCGAACCGCTGCTGTCGGACGAGCCAGTCGGCAGACGAGGCGTCTGTAATGCGGCAGGGTTCGGCTCTGCTTCCCGTGACCGGCGGTTGGCCCGGCCTCTCCTCTGGATGGAAGGTCGACTGCGCTGTGCGCGGCCGGGCGCTGCCCGACGGCAGGCGGGGTAGAGAGGGAGGGGGGGGGGGGGGCGGCGCCGGGTGTGGCTCCCCCGCAGACAGCCGCTCCACATTTAGGCGTTCGATTAGATTGCGTCGGCTGTCGGCGCCAATATCGTTTTGAGGGCTGGCCGGCAGCCTGCCGCTAATGGCCATTCAAATGTGGCCGAGCTGGCCTTGGGGACGCCTATTGGGCGGCGGGCAGCCAGACGGCCGATCTCAGGACGGCCTACTGGAGCCGGTGACGTCAGCAGGACAGCCGGTGTCAGAGGGCTTGGTGGAGCCGATGACGTCAGCAGAACAGCAGGTGTCAGAGGGCCTTCTGAAGCCGATGACGTCAGCAGGGCATTCGTGCCAGAAGAGCCTGCTGGAGCCGATGATGTCAGCAGGACAGCCCGGTCAGAGGGTCTTCTGAAGCCGGTGACTTCAGCAGGACAGCCCGTGTCAGAGGGCTTGCTGGAGCCGATGACGTCAGCAGGACGGCAGGTGTCAGAGGGCCTTCTGGAGCCGGTGGCGTCAGCAGGACACTCGGCGCCGGAGGGTCTGCTGGAGCCGGTGGCGTCAGCAGGACAGTCGGTGCCAGGAGGGCCTGCTTGGAGCCGATGACGTCAGCAGGACAGGTTGGTGCCAGAGAGCCTGCTGGAGCCGATGACGTCATCCGTGTGGACGTCACCGGACGTCCCTCTGAAGCTGACGACCGGCGAGGGAGCTGACCAACGGTCGCCGTCCAAAAAAAAAGGCGGGTCTTCAGGATACAGAGTGCGTTGCCCGTCGGCGCACCGCGTGCTTCGGCTGACGGGACAACCGGTTCGGTTCGGTCCGTGGTGTCTAGCCGGGCTGGTCCCGTCCCGACGCAGCCAGATGAGAGCGGAAGTGACCGGCCGGTGGACCGGGCGCGGTCCCGTCCCGGCGCAGCCAGATGAGAGCGGACAGTGACCGGCCGGTGGACCGGGCGCGGTCCCGTCCCGACGCAGCCAGATGAGAGCGGGCGGTGACTGGCCGGTGGACCGTGCGCGGTCCCGTCCCGACGCAGCCAGATGTGAGCGGGCAGTGACCGGCCGGTGGACCGGGCGCGGCAGCCTCCACACGCTTTAAAGGCTCCGCTCCGTTTCACGGCGGCGCATTCTGCTGCGGCGCGCTGTGTGGAGTTGAGGCTGGAGGCGGGTGGAAATGTCGTTCGCGGGTGCCCGTTGTCATTCATGTACGCGGCGAAATGGTCTGCAACTGGGGAGGACCGCGCAGAACTCGGGAGATTTCTCCGCCTCGACAGGATGCTTCGGAGCGGGACCCAACGGCTATTTCCGGTCGTTTCCCGCTGAACTTTAGTAGTGATCTGCGCTGTTTCTTCCTGCTTGTGGGGGAGCTCGAGATTCTGAGGCGCTCGTCATGACCTTTTTCGACTTCCCAGAAGCTTGTCGCCTCAAGCTTCATCCATGTTATTCTAGTCTATGCTATTGTCGTGGTTGCATAGCCATTTGGGTCTAGCTAGGGTTTATTCTGATGAACTTTTGTGCGCTACGCAGCTCAGCCAGCGCGCAAGTGAGTCTTTAGAACAACGTTGCACGTACGCCGCGCCACCTACCCAGTGGTCGGTGTGTATGTGTGTTTAGGAAGGAGGGGGACATGCAGTGGAGTGCTCATACTGAATTATCATTAGCAGTATCCTTCAAACTAAGTCGTGATTTTCTCGCCCACCAGGTGCATGCTAGACTTCTCCACCTGTTTAGAAGTTTATCACCCTGGAGAGACTTACTATGGCAGTCAGGACCGGGCACGCCAGCCCGTTCGGGCAGCGAGGTCGCGGCCGGTGTTTCGCATGCGCCTGCCATCGGCGGGCGTCGTTTGGCGGGATTTGCGAGCGGTAGCCGCGGTCCGAGCCGACACAGTGGGAGGCGGCGCCGGCGCTGATGGGGTGCCGGGGGACCCGTCACGCTCGGACCGGGCCACTCCGGTGTGGCGCGTGCCGAGGTCGCCCGGCGCCGCTCGGAGCGCCGGCGGTGCGCTCGCCGCTCTCCGGCCGCGGCCAGGCGGCGCCGGCGGGGCGCTCGCCGCTCTCACGGCCGCGGCCAGGCGACGCCGGGCGGGGGCGCTCGCCGCTCTCCGGCCGCGGCCAGGCGGCGCCGGGCGGGGCGCTCGCCGCTCTCCGGCCGCGGCCAGGCGGGCGCCGGGCGGGGCGCTCGCCGCTCTCCCGGCCGCGGCCAGGCGACGCCGGGCGGGGCGCTCGCCGCTCTCTCCGGCCCTGGCGGCCAGCGACGCCGGGCGGGGCGCTCGCCGCTCTCCGGCCGCGGCCAGGCGGCGCCGGGCGGGGCGCCGGGCGGCGCCGGCGGGGGCGACCGAGCGGCGCCGCCGGGCCGGGGCGGGCACGTCGGACGCATTGTATGCGGCGTTATTGGCGCGACGGCCCGACACACCGATATCACCCGCTTGATATGCATTGCCGCCGAGCGCGTGAGGTGCTGTGTATTGACGGCGCTGCACGGCGCCACGGCTCCTCGGGGGGAGAGGCAGGAGCAGCACCGGCTCCTCGGGGGAGAGGCAAGAGCAGCACCGGCTCCGGCCGGGCGCCCCGTCGGCTCCCACCCAGCCGCTGCTGGCGGAGTGGCTCCTCGGGCGGAGCAGGAGCAGCACCGGCTCCAGCCGGCGCCCCGTCGGCTCCCACCCAGCCGCTACTGGCGGAGCATCGGGCTGCAGCTGCCGAGCTGGGCACGACCGGAAACCACATGTTAAAGATCGGCGCAGCAGATGCGGCCTTGTGTCTGAAGCTCTGCTATGTCGGTTCAGTTGTTCGGCATTTGGTGCCGGAGGTGCACGTTCGACGATGTGAACTATTGCCGGGGTGGGGTGGACAGCAAGAGACATATGAGCTAAGCTCAGATTGCCTTATCGCGCTCAGGAGGCTTCCGAAGTGTCTGTCTAGGCGGTGCTCATCAAATATGCAGAAAGTGCATGGATGCCCGCCAGGACAGTATTGTCATCAATCATCTAAGATGGCTGATGGACTGGCTCAGCTTCAAGGCTTCTTTCGGAATAACTTATTCAATCGGCAGGGAATGTAACATGGCCGCCTTGGAAGTTCCGTTGGAAGAGCGTGGACCACTCGCCAAGATTCGCGTAACACTTCAATGCGTACGTTTACGTCTCAGGAATGGGGCGTGTGTGGCTCGTCCTTGCCAGTTGCCTACACTTGACCAGTAGAGCCGGTGATCGCGACGGTGGCCCGGTGTCACGGCATTTCAGGACGTGGTCATGAGCCCGAGGCGAAAATTGTCCATTGAGCTGGGATTGCACTGCTGGGGCGATGAGGGCCAGGTTCTCCTGCAAGAGCTTTGTTGCCGAATCCATCCCCCGTAGAACGTTCAGGCTTTGGGTGGGGGGGGGGGGGGGGGGGGGGGGAAGCTTAGAACGGAGCCCACGGGACTCGGGTGCCGTTCGGAAGCTGGCGACTGCCGGTGGCGACATCATTCGGCTCGTCTGCCTGGCAGGAGCGTGACATGGAGCTGACCAAGGAGGCGCAGCGCCAGGACGAGAACGACAAGCTGCGCAAGGAGTTCGCCAAGCACGCCAACGCCTTCCACTTCTGGCTGACCGAGACTAGGTGAGTGTGCGGACAAGGAGTACACCAAGCACGCCAACGCCTTCCACTTCTGGCTGACCGAGGCCAGGTGAGTGTGCGGACAAGGAGTTCGCCAAGCAAGCCAACGCCTTCCACTTCTGGCTGACCGGGACTAGGTGAGTGTGCGGACAAGGAGTTCGCCAAGCACGCCAACGCCTTCCACTCCTGGCTGACCGGGACTAGGTGAGTGTGCGGACCAGCCGCCACTTCCGGGTACGTTCGGAGGCTCGTGCCTGTGTGCTCCCGTTGGCTGCCGCGCAGTTTGCCATGCTGTCTGGCCAGGTGCGCAGTTCGACGGTGAGCGATCGCGTCCCCGCCGCAGGCGCACTGGATCACTGCCGGATGACCTGAGCGATGATCTCTATGCTCTCTAGGCAAAGAAACTGTCCGCATTTCTCAAAGCTCTGAGATTTTCTGCGATGCGCGCGTGCCTCAAGTGCGTGTCACACTCAGCGCTAAGTAGGCCACACTTCTGTATAGGGGTCTAATGAGCATGGCACTCGACGCGCCCAACAATCCCAATTAACAACGGTGAAGGGGGCCGGGTCGTTATGGCCAAATGTTAAGCGCCGCCGGCTGCCACGCGGGGTCTGGGTTCGCGTGTTTCTACAGCGGCACGCAGCGATGGTGTGACGCCGAGGGCGTGGACCGCGCCACTGAGTGCTCGCCTTGTGCTGAGGGGCGGCGGAGGCGCGCTCTAGTGAGCGGGAGAGGGGGGGGGGGGGGTCGTTCGGCGGAGGCGTGCTCTGGTGAGGGACGGCCCCTCCGGCGGAGCCCGTGCCGCCAGCTCGGCGGTATTCACGCTGCCTGTGGAGCCTTTTGTCAGTCGCGTCGCGCCCTGAAGACGGGCTTCGATCGGCGCCGGTGTGCCGCTGCGAGAGGCGGCGTCCCTGGCGGCCAGTTTTCGCTGCTGCGGAAATTTCCAATCTAACTTTCTCATTGTTCTTCCCGCCCCGCCCTCGATGAAGACGTGGCAGCCAATACCGATGGGAGTGGGTTGTCGCCTGGTAACGACATCGATTTACTTTGTGGCGCATCTTGCGGGTGTATTCGGTGTCGAAAACGGCCGGGCCGAGAGTGTTTTGTGCGCCCACCACACAGTGTTTGTCGGGTCTATTTTCGTCGTCTGTCTCATCTGTCGCACATCGCTCATCCACTTGGCTCTGGCCCTTCCCTTGTCTTGCCGTTCACGTTCAATCTGCTAAATTTGCCGCCGCTGCGCTGACCATCATTCTTCCGAAAGTCCGGAAAACAACCACCGGAGCGTGCCTGCAATGCGCGTTGTTTTTCGGCGCGCGCCGCGTGTCCGTCTTGAGGGAGGTGAGGACGCGCGCCGCGCCGCCGCGCCGCTGAATGGGCGTGGGGCGCGCCGCCGCCGCTGACGGTGACGTCTGAATCGGAGGACGGACGCGGCGCGCGTCCGCCGGTCCACTGTACCGGCCGCCGGCGGTTCCGGCATACCGCCACAATGGGTCCTTTCGCCGTGCAATGGCGGAGCTGGCGCTGTTCCGCTGTCGGTGCGTGCGCCGTGTCGATGTCGGTCTTGTCACTGGTCCGCCGTGGGTCGTTTTACTGATGCGCTGTCATGCTATCACTGGCCTAGTGCCAGTGCCGGCGGTGATCCGCCGCTGTTGTGCAGCACGATTGGCCCCGCCGCTGTGATCCACTGTCGACCCCGTCACCTCCCCACTGTCGATCCTGCCACTGCCCCACCGTCGATCCTGCCACTGCCCCACTGTCGACCCCGTCACTGCCCCACTGTCGATCCTGCCACCGCCCCACTGTCGATCCTGCCACTGCCCCACTGTCGACCCCCGTCACTGCCCCACTGTCGATCCTGCCACTGCCCCACTGTCGACCCCGTCACTGCTCCACTGTCGATCCCGCCACTGCCCCACTGTCGACCCCGTCACTGCTCCACTGTCGATCCCGTCACTGCCCCACTGTCGACCCCGTCACTGCCCCACTGTCGATCCTGCCACTGCCCCACTGCCGACCCCGTCACTGCTCCACTGTCGATCCCGTTACTGCACCACTGTCGATCCCGTCACTGCCCCACTGTCTATCCTGCCCCTACTCTACTGTCGATCCCGCCACTGTTTGTCACTGTTGATCCTGCCACTGCTCCGCCGTCGATCCCGTCAGTGCTACACTGTCGATCTCGTGACTGCTCCACTACCGATCCCGTCACAGCTCCACCGTCGATCCCGTCACTGCTGCACTGGCAATTCCGCCACTTCTCCACTGTCGGTGCCGTCGTCGTTGCACCTTTCTAACGCCACCTTCGTCACCGCCAGGTCGTCAATGATGGAGGGCTCTGGCACCCTCGAGCAGCAGTTGGAGGCCGTGAAGAAGAAGGCGGCCGAGGTGCGCGCTCGCCGCAGCGACCTCAAGAAGATCGAGGACCTGGGAGCTATCCTGGAGGAGCACCTCATCTTGGACAACCGCTACACCGAGCACAGGTGAGCGGCGACACTGCTGACCGCGCCCGCCGGCACTGATGGGGGAGGGGAGGGCAAAGCAAGGGCTGCCATGGACGGGTTTGGCTATCCCCCCCCCCCCCTGTCGCAAGCAGCGACCCGGCGTGACCAATGGCCGCGCGCCGCAGACGGCTAGCGCCGAGGGACGCCACCGGAGCATGGGTCCGGCCGGAGCGCGGCCCGCTGGCCTGACAGCGGCGCCGCCCAGCGCCGGCGCTGGGGCGCGCGGTGTGGCGGACCGGCCTGTCTAGGAAGATCGCCCACTGGAGCGATGCTGAAGTCGCTGGCTGGCTGAGGCGGACGAGTCGTATTAGGAGCGGCACTGTTTACGCCTCAAGCTCCTACGACTTCGGTCCAACAACAGCAGAGGAAACAAGATTCGCCGTCTAAATTACACTGCGCAGCGCTGGTGTGAAGTGGTGGCCAAGTCGCCGCCGTTCTTTCCGCTGCCTGAACGAAAAAAGATCCACCGCACCAGCTTTGTTGTCCGCTGGAAGGCGTCGGCTGTTGCGAGAACGCCGGAACGCCGGCCATGACTGAAGTGTTGCGTGGCGCCGAATATGGCCAGATCGATCTGACATCAGGGGGTGCAAGGGATCCGTGAAGACAAATTACTGAGAAAACAAAACAAGAGTGTTTTCTGTTCGTTCAAGACCACTGCGTCCCCTGTCCATTCTGCTCTCTTAACGGATTTAAGCCACACGTGTTCTGCGACTTAATCGCACTTGTACCGCGCCGCCATTATGAAGTAGACCGCCGTTTCTCAAGGCCGCGAACTCGGCCTTAACAGAAGGCATCTTCCATTTGGGCCTAATGACCCGACCGACGGGCCAATGTGATTACCTTTGGCGTACTGTGCGACTGACCGGGTTGTGCTGGCTGCTTTTGCCTTCTAATGCAACGTTCTCGTGGCGCGTGGGATACTTTCATGCATCACCGTCTCGTCGGACGGCTGTTGCGCGCCCGCCCAGGATGCTCCGATTGCTGATCGACCCTCCAACTCTTCACGTTACGGGACCGATCTGCTTTTCCGTCGTGAAGTTCTCGGAAAGTTTTCTCCGTCGGCCGTCTCGCTCGACGTCACGGAACTGGCCGTGCGCCGTGCGCCGTGCGCCGTGCGCGTGGATCGGCCCAGACGTGTGGTGCGGGGCGTCCCGTGTACAACACTCACCTGTTGGCTGCCCGTGCGGCAGGCGGCGAACGGACCGTGAGGGCTTGAGCCGTCAGGGGAGGGGGCCGAGCCGGGTCGCCCTGCCCTGCCCTGCCCTGCCCTGCCCTGCCCTGCCCTGCCCTGCCCTGCCCCGCCCCGCCCCGCCCCGCCTTGTTCGGACGCCGGCGGGGTCCTGCTGAGAAGGACCATCTTCCTAGACTGTTCGGTTCAATCTCGGGACCCTACTAACGTCCGGTGGCCTTCTGTTCATCGCCCACGGAACTGTGACCTTGCGGCTTTTCGGTTGTAGCGCGAGCTGATAAAAATTCATGGAATCCCCGAATGGCTTCTGTGGCAGCGCATTTGGTGCGTGATAGCAGCTGCTGATAACGTTTAAAGCCCGCCCGGGAATAGCTTATTTCAGGGTGCTTGATTTGCTAATCTGAAGTTTTCTGAACGGCGCCGCGCAGGGGCGTCCTCGGTTCTGCGTGGATCATGGCGTGACGTTGTCGGAAGGAGTGCGGCCGCGACGGAGGAGACCGGTGATGTCTAGCGACGCCCCATGCGGGTCGGCGAAGGGGGCGGGCAAAGCACACGACAATCGATATGCGTTGTGCATGAAATAGCCGCGGGCACGAGCGCGGGAACTTTCCCATGATCTCCCACTCGACGCATCTGGACAGCTATTCGGTTCTGGGAAATGGTGTCGATATGTACTGCTTGAAGGTCAGAATAAATCGATGCCCCCCCATTATCGGATGTCTTCCAGAAAACTATCCAGATTTCAAGCCCGAACTTCTGAGAATGACATTATTAAATCAATTCGTTGGCCGGAAGATTTTAACGCTGTCGGAATACGCAAGCTCAGGCATGTAAGTGGTGCCTGGAAATGATATCACAGCGTGTGTGGGCAACTCGACGCTGGGCGGCGGGAGCGCGGTCCGTCTGACTCATGGTCCGGGATCGAACAGTGCCCGCCCTCGGCTCGGACTCTGCAGCTGGTCGCCTGTTGGCGCAGTGTGCTGCCGGCCTGCCGCCTCCGCCTCCGCCTCCTCTGGGAGCGGCGCTGGGCCGGCCTGTGGCGGGGTCGGCGCCGCACCGCTCCGCTCCAGACCAGGCACCCGAGGGCTGGCGGCAGCTGGCTCGGCTCAGATTGAGGCACGCTCGGCCGGAAGGTCGGCGCTGAGGGCCGTCGTTAGTGCATGACGACAAGATGAGGATTGGTTCAGTGTCGGGGGTGGGGGGGGGGGGGGGATGTGGGCTAGCTTCAGTTCGGTGGAAGGACATGAGCGGGAGGAAGAGGTTCGCAGCGTGACTGCGGGGTCTGCACAGACAGCTGGGCTGTATTGTATCCGGAGGTGATGGACCCAGAAGTGGCCAGCCTCAGAGGGCAGACCTGAGAGAGGTCAGAGGTCGGAGACCTGACAGGTCATTCTGGTGGGGTGACTTTCAACAGCTTTGTTGGATGACCCCGGGCAGGTCGGCTTTCTGAAGCCGGGGAGTTTCAGATGTTTGGAGGTCACTCGGGTGAAGGCAGCTCAGAAGAGTTGATCTGGAAGGGGTCAGCTGGCGGGAGGGGACAGAACAGGACTTCACGGGAAACTCAGTCATATCTGTGAAGGGGATGATTCAGTGTGACCAGCTGTCTAGAGCTGACTCGGGAGTGACCAGCTGTCCAGGGGTGACTCGGGAGTGACCAGCTGGGTGGCGGCTAGTGTGGGCCTGATGACGGCCGCCGGATCAGACGCCCCCGGATCAGACGCCGCCGGATCAGACGTCGCCGGATCAGGTGCCGCCGGATCAGACGTCGCCGGATCAGGTGCCGCCGGATCATACGCTGCCCGATCAGACACCGCCGGATCAGACGTCGCCGGATCAGACGCCGCCGGATCAGACGTCGCCGGATCAGATGCTGCCCGATCAGACGTTGCCGGATCAGACGCCGCCGGATCAGACACCGCCGGACCAGATGTCGCCGGATCGGACGTCGCCGGATCAGACGCCGTCAGATCAGGTGCTGCCGGATCAGACGCCGCCGGATCAGATGCTGCCGGATCAGATGCTGCCCGATCAGACGCCGCCGGATCAGACACCGCCGGATCAGACGCCGCCGGCCGGCCGGGTCCTGTTGGCCTCTGTGGTCGTTAGCTGGCCGGAAGCCGTATCTGCGCCGGCCGCTCTAATGAGAGCCACGCCGACGCCGCCTGATGTAAGGGCTCGTCGGGTGTCGCCGCTGCGAGCTGGCCGGCGATGGCCTCCGGCAGCGGCCGCGGCCGAGTGGGTCACCGATGCGGGTCTCGAGCTCGGCTGGCGACACGGCGGGCAGAGAGCTTGGCATGGTACGGGCGTGCAATGTTTTGCCAGGGCGGGTGACGTCATGCAGGCGCTTCGCATACATGGGCGCTGAAGCGGCCGCCCTTCGATGCGCGTGGTGAGTTATTGCTACGTCGTAGGACCGTCGATTTAAATATGAAATGTGCAAGGGCGTGCGATGGGTTGTCATTTCGAAAGCTGAACATGCGCTGCTATTCAAACCTGATAAAAGACCCTCAAAGAACGAGTCTGTCTAACATGGAATTCGCTCGTTCGGCCACCTGGGATTACAGCTCCTAATGACGACTCATGCACCGAACACAAGTGAATTGTGCAACTGCAATTTTGGCCACCAAGCTGGCCGTGACATGCGGCGGGGCTGATGGTGAAGTCCGCCATTGGACCACCAGCGGCCTGATTAGAGCGGGGCCGGGACCTGGCCGCACCGGGCCGGCTTAGGCCGCCGTGCCGCGCATGCGCCGGCTCACGGCTCGGGTGGCGTCAGCCACGGCCGGACTCCATTGGGACGGCTGGCGCCGCGCCGGCTCCGCGCGGTCAGCGGCGGCGGTCCCGGCCGTCATGGGACCACCGATGCCGGGATCATATGGTCCATGGCGGCGCGGTGCCGGCTGGCATCGGACTGGCGGGACCGGTGGCCGCGCCGGCCGCAGCGGCGCCGCTCGGACGCTGTCGGTGGCAGCCCGGCCGTGGTGCGGTGGGGCCGTCAGAGAGGGAGCGGCCGCCATAGCCTCAGCCGGCCGCAGGGGCGGCCCCTGAAGGCAGATAGAGCCGGCCCGCGCGCGGGGCGTGGCCCAGACCTCCAGCGGCGTGCCGGGCCGGCTGGCGCCACTGTCACGCGGGAACGCTCGGCTGAGGACGGCCGACTCAGACTCAGGCCGGCAGGCTGGGCTGTGGTGTCAGGCGGCGGCCGCGGTGACGGGCGCCACAGCCCAGCTCAGGCGGCGGCCGCGGTAACGGGCGCCGTCGGAGCTGATCGGTGGCTGCCGTGTGTTCGTGCGAGCCGACCCAGTCAGGCGACGAATCAGGCTCGGCACCAGTGCCTCCAGCGCGGATCAGGCTCGGCACTAATCAGCACCGCCGATGGTCGATATCGACGGGTGCGACGTGCTGCGCTCGACAGGCCGGCTAGAGCCGCCCACCTGCGGCGCCGGCTGGGTGCCATCTGCGCCCGTCCCACCGTCCAGGGCTGCCCTGGCCGGCCCCGCTCCGGCGCCGCAGCTGGGTGCCGTCTGCGCCCGTCCCACCGTCCGGGCTGCCCTGGCCGGCCCCGCTCCGGCGCCGCAGCTGGGTGCCGTCTGCGCCCACCCCACTGCCCTGGCTGCCCTGGCCGGCCCTGTCCGGCGCCGCAGCTGGGCGCCGTCTACACCCGCCCTGCCGCCCAGGGCTGCCCTGGCCGGCCCTGTCCGGCGCCGCAGCTGGGTGCCGTCTACACCCGCCCTGCCGCCCGGGGCTGCCCTGGCCGGCCCTGTCCGGCGCCGCAGCTGGGTGCCGTCTGCGCCCGTCCCACTGCCCTGGGCTGTCCTGGCCGAGGTGCCGACGCTCAGAGATTTGCCGCTGTACCGGCCAGACGGCACGGACGGAGCCGACGGCACACAGCTGCGGGGGCGGACACAGTTCAGGGGTTTGTGTGGCCTTTCAGCGACTATATCCTATCATGATCCCAGATAAATCGGAAGGTCGGCTAGAGCCGATCGTGCAAAGTAAGGCACGAACAAACTGTGGTTGTTTTTGTGTATTCCCGAGGCTTTTGCGACGCCTGGGCTCATTTTGTTTTTGTTTTCTGTAGGCAATTTAATAAGATGCGATTGTATCTTTCCGTCTTGTTAATTTCACTGTAATGAAAAACTCATCATTTAAGTGCAGGCCTTTAACCAAAAATGGCAGTTCTTCCTATGTATCAATGACTACCGAGACAAAATGCTCAGTGAAATGCCCCGATTCCAAACCATGCGCTTTCTTGGTGAGCTGCAACGGTTCTTGAAGCTGTAATTGGGATCTGGAAGCCCAACACCGTTGCCAATAAATCTCACGGGTCTGTATAGTATCGTAACTGCACGGAGGCCAGTGAGTCTGTCCGATCATGTGTGGGCTAACCGGTGGGCCCGTCCGGTCATGCGTGGGCTGGCCGTTGGGACTGTCCGGTCACGTGTGGGCTAACCGGTGGGCCTGTCCGGTCATGTGTGGGCTAAGCGGTGGGCCTGTGCGGTCGGACGTGGGCTGACCGGTGGGCCTGTCCGGCAAGCACGGTGGGCCTGGCCCAGCAGTGGGACCAGCTGGACCAGCTGGGCATGCGGATGCAGCACAACCTGGAGCAGCAGATCCAGGCCCGCAACCAGTCGGGCGTTGCTGAGGACTCGCTGAAGGAGTTCTCCATGATGTTCAAGTAAGCGGTAGCGGGTGCTACGCCTTCCGCGGGGAATTGCAAGGCCCTGAGACGTGCGGCTTGGGTGGGGCCCGATATTCGATAGCGGGTGCTATGCCTTCCGCGGGGACTTGCAAGGCCCTGAGACGTGCGGCTTGGGTGGGGCCCGATATTCGATAGCGGGTGCTATGCCTTCCGCGGGGACTTGCAAGGCCCTGAGACGTGCGGCTCGGGTGGGGCCCGATATTCGATAGCGGGTGCTATGCCTTCCGCGGGGACTTGCAAGGCCCTGAGACCTGCGGCTGGGGTGGGGCCCGATATTCGCTCACTGACCTGATGTGTGTTATCGGACGCTTGTGCGTGCGCTGTTTTACTGATAAGTGCTCTGTCAACTATTCACCATGTAAGGGAAGGTCCTGGGGCGCCGAGCCGTGATAAACAGCTGCTAAACGTGAGAGGGCGGACGTCTGAATGTGTTGTATGCTGGCTGTCGTGGGCCACGATGTATCGCTTCCATTAACGCTGCATCCGTGTGCGGTCTCCCCATCGGTGCTGTGTGGTGCCAGTGTGCTGTCGCGCCGGTTCTGTCTTCGCTCGACTTGAGCTGGGCTGTGGTCAGCCTCTCGCGTCACGCCCGCCGATGGATACCGCAGGCACCGCTGGCCGCTCTCGGGTCGGTTCCCTTCACACGCTCCCCTGTCGCCACCCGCAGGCATTTCGACAAGGAGAAGGCAGGCCGACTGAACCACAAGGAGTTCAAGTCGTGCCTGCGTGCGCTCGGTTACGATCTGCCGATGGTGGAGGAGGGCCAGCCCGACCCCGAGTTCAACGAGATCCTGGGTAAGCCCTCCGCGCGGCTGCGGCAGCCATCGCGGGGAACCGGCGCTCTCGTCACGTGGCGCGCCGTAAGGAAGCCACTTGAAGTACGGAAGATGTGAAGTCAGGTATTCATGAGACTTGCAGCCGCCGGCGCCACGTCAAACCCCGAGCTTTGTGCGTTGCATGCCGGCAAGTGGTTCCACTCCTCGCGGGTTTTTTCTACGATGCCATTTTGGTTCTAGTAGGAATTTGTTACGGTGCTGGACGCTTCCGTCATGTGGATTACTAGTCGTACTACTGATTCTCGTCGGTTGAGTAGCAATTTATGGTCTTAATACGCGCGTTGATTGATTTGGTGTCGTGGTCGGGCTGTAAACGATTTCATAGATCAGAATGCGACGCATGGCCTGCAAGCACACAAGTGTTACAGACGAGAGTCATCCGAAAGCCGTTCAGACGTGAACGATGGTCGGATGGACTATCGGCACGCACTGCCGTGTGGTGGTGCTGCGTCTTCATCAGCTGCGACTGTAGAGCTGGCGGAGCGCTCGGTATGCGGCGTCCTAGCCCTCTCGGCAGTAGGCTGCGCCGGCTGTTGCCAGCCGGGCCGCCGTCGCGCTCCGTCTGGGGGCGGCGTGCGGGTGCCGCGCCGTACTGCGGCGCCGCCTGGCGGGGTAACGAGCCGCCGGCCGCGCCGCGATGCTTTTTGCTGAGGTCTCCGCGCGCGCCGGCGGAGGGTCGGTCCGCGCCGCCTCTGCAACAGCGGCCTGGCTGTAGGCGTTAGCCGCGCTCGGTCGAAGCGGCACGGTGAAGGTCCGGCCGGTGGCGAGGGGGGGGGGGGGGGGGTCGCATCGGCGTCACAAACACACTTGGTTACGGTGGCAGGACGTACAGCGACACGATGCCCTACCACCTGGCATCGTTGGCCTCAGCGTGGCACCTAAAGGTGCTGTGCGTTTGCAGGTGCGCGGCATTCTACTGGTCTCTCCAGTTCAATCATAAGTCATCGATTGTGTTGCCTGTTGGTTCTTACCCTCAGATATCCCGGCGGATGTGTGGGCTGCTCGCTCAAAGCTATAAGGGAAGCGCAGTTGGCAGGCTTTTGAGCATCCGCGCTCTTTAAACGCGCAAGTTCTGTGTGTCGTCGGATATCTGGTCACATCTCCCGGCTCCTTGTTCGGGCGTGTAAATCAATCCCGTTTTGGTTGAAGCCGCTCAGCCCCCACGTTCCCCGAAATCCAATAGTTGATAGGCCGCCTGCTTTATGGCTACGGCCGAGAGGTAGAGAGAGCGAGAGCGAGAGCGAGAGCGAGAGCGAGAGCGAGAGCGAGAGCGAGAGCGAGAGAGAGAGAGAGAGAGAGAGAGAGAGAGAGAGAGAGAGAGAGAGAGAGGGGAGAGAGAGGCAGTGGCAGTGGCAGTGGCAGTGGAGAGAGAGAAAGAGAGGGAATGGGAAAGGAGAGGGAGAAGGAGGAGGAGGAGAGGGAGAGGGAGAGACGCGCTCGGGGCGCTGCGTCCATCGATTCCGCGGTAGCGGGCCGCTGAGCCGGCAGCCCGGAGCCCGACTACAGCCGGCTCCCGACCCGGCCCAACGGGGACAGCGGGCCGGGCGTGCTGCACTGGGTCGTGCCTCTCGGGCCGACGGACGAAGGAGGACACGCCGGGGGCAGCCCGTGAGGCGAGCCCCCGCTCTGGTCGATGCCCGCCCGGCCGCGGAGTACTGCTTACGGCAGTGTGCCGCCGGGATTACAGACACCACTCGAGCGCAGCTCACCCGCGGCTCATATGGGCCTGCTGTGCTCTGTTTGTGCTGCGATCTCGTCAAATATTGACGTAGCCGTCGTGTTAGGGGCGTATTTAATAGCACGCCTCACGCATTCCGGGGCATCATAGATGAACACAAATAACTCGCTCGCTAACCAGTCGACTTACCAGCTCATTTCCATTAACTCCCTCATCCAGTCTCCCATTGAAATGACCACCCCATGGCCACGTAAACATGATCCACGTGAACAACCACTTCCTCCCCAGCAAACCCAAATCATCATCACCGGCCAGCAATCGCCACACCGTGCCTTGTCCTTGTGCCTGATCTGTAAGACGGTCAGACAGCCCATCTGTGCCGAGCAGCTGTTTCCACGCAGCAAATCTGCGAGCCGTGCGGCGGATAAGGCCATTAACGCAGCCGTCCCCGGGCGCCGCTCGCGTTCGGCCGACCGGTCCCGGACGGCTCGTTACAACCGCGGCCCGTTCCGGCGGAGCGGGTGCCGACGGCAGGCGGCGCCGTCGCTCCAGCGTCGGTCGCGTCCGGCGTGCGAAGCGATGCGGTGGGGCGCCCCGCTGCCGGACTGGGCGACGGCCTTGGCCCGGGCGCGGCGCCGGCCTGCCGTGCGATTTACCGCGCCCCACCATATTGGCGCCGCCCTCCCGCCGCCTTTGTGCGGATTAGGTGGCTGCCTGACCTCTCTGAGGCCATCACTTACTGGGCCGGCCGGCGACGTTGCGGTCAGCGGGAGGCGGCCGCCGCGCCCGGCGACCCGGCCGGCGCGGACCCGGGCGCACCATCGATCGCGCCGCCGAACGGGCCCGACGCTGCCGTCCGCGCCGCTTCAGCGAGTGCCGTCTGTCGGCTCACCCACCCACCCACCCGGCTTGGCGGTGCAGCGTGTCGCCGACCGGGCTCGGGGGACCGGCGGCCGTCCCACCGGCCCGCCGCGCCGGCGGCTGGCGGAAATGGGCGCCGAATGTCGCCTCCGCGGTGGCGTCGCCCGTGGCAGGTGAGCCACATCGGGAGCCCGGCCAGCTCCAGACGCCCGGCACGGCGGCCTGAATGCCCCGCAGATCGGCCGGCCAAATAAACGGGCCGGCGGCGGAGCCGTCTCAGTGTTTGGGGAGACGGCCGGCGCCTGGGACCCGGCGAGCCCCCGCCGCCGGCCCACCCACCGGGCGGGCCGGCCGGCCGACGCCCCGGCCCTCTGCTGCTCGGTTGACCTGGGGCACCGTCGGCGCCTGGAGCACCTGTGGCAGTTGCGGCAGTCTGGTATCCTCTGGACGAAACAGGAGCCGGCACCGGCAGACGTCACAGCAGCCAGTTGGTTTAGCAAGCCACATTTATTTGCTTTTGATAGATAACGTTATTAGGGCAACGCTCGTAGAAACCACCTGAACCCCCCCCGTAAGGTCCGAGATAATTTGATCCCACATAAAGGCCTTGTAATGTGCAATACAAACTGGTTATGCACGAGGTGCTTTGATTGATGAGGAGAAGCAGAGATTTGCTGCTTTTTGGAGATATTGTGTTGGGCAGTTATCAACATCGCTTTTTTATAAGATAATGTCTGGTAACAAATTTGATTTCTTCGACGTCTGGTCTTTTCAAATGCACGAAATGTGCATCCAGATCAATTCACTCCCATCCGACCACGGACTCTGGCTCTGCCGACAGTGTTCATTGTTCACCTCTGCCATTCGGAATGAATGAATGGGGCAATGCAAAATCAGGCGAGACCTCTGAATATGCGCGCTCCGGTTGGAGCGACGGCTCGCCATCTTGGCGCTCCAGATGGCTCAGTGCTGGCAAATGGACCTGAATCCACTCCACAAAGCCCCCAGATCATTCAGCCGGCTTTGGCGCAATCAAGACTACGGCGCCGACCTCGGCATTGTTCTCCGGTCCTGACGCCGTCCCCGGCATTGTTCTCCGGTCCTGACGCCGACCCCGGCATTGTTCTCCGGTCCTGACGCCGACCCCGGCATTGTTCTCCAGTCCTGGCGCCGACCCCGGCATTGTTCTCCGGTCTTGACGCCGACCCCGGCATTGTTCTCCAGTCCTGGCGCCGACCCCGGCATTGTTCTCCGGTCTTGACGCCGACCCCGGCATTGTTCTCCAGTCCTGACGCCGACCCCGGCATTGTTCTCCGGTCTTGACGCCGACCCCGGCATTGTTCTCCGGTCTTGACGCCGACCCCGGCATTGTTCTCCAGTCCTGACGCCGACCCCGACATTGTTCTCCGGTCTTGACGCCGACCCCGGCATTGTTCTCCGGTCTTGACGCCGACCCCGCCATTGTTCTCCAGTCCTGACGCCGACCCCGGCATTGTTCTCCAGTCCTGACGCCGACCCCGGCATTGTTCTCCGGTCTTGACGCCGACCCCGACATTGTTCTCCAGTCCTGACGCCGACCCCGACATTGTTCTCCAGTCCTGACGCCGACCCCGGCATTGTTCTCCGGTCTTGACGCCGACCCCGGCATTGTTCTCCAGTCCTGGCGCCGACCCCGGCATTGTTCTCCGGTCCTGACGCCGACCCCGACATTGTTCTCCGGTCTTGACGCCGACCCCGACATTGTTCTCCAGTCCTGACGCCGACCCCGACATTGTTCTCCAGTCCTGACGCCGACCCCGACATTGTTCTCCAGTCCTGACGCCGACCCCGACATTGTTCTCCAGTCCTGACGCCGACCCCGACATTGTTCTCCAGTCCTGACGCCGACCCCGGCATTGTTCTCCAGTCCTGACGCCGACCCCGGCATTGTTCTCCGGTCTTGACGCCGACCCCGACATTGTTCTCCAGTCCTGACGCCGACCCCGGCATTGTTCTCCAGTCCTGACGCCGACCCCGACATTGTTCTCCAGTCCTGACGCCGACCCCGACATTGTTCTCCAGTCCTGACGCCGACCCCGACATTGTTCTCCAGTCCTGACGCCGACCCCGACATTGTTCTCCAGTCCTGACGCCGACCCCGACATTGTTCTCCGGTCCTGGTGCCGTCCTCGACAGGGCGACCGGAGCGCATCTGCGGCGGCCGGTTCAGTGGGAAGGGGCGGTCGGCCGGCCCGAGTGCGCGCAGCCCTGCCGCCAGCAGCAGCCGTGAGCCGCTGATGAATGGCCGACGCTGTATCGGCAGCGCCAGCCACGTCCGGCCGCCGGTTGACAGAATCCCCCGGTAACGAGCGGCGGCGGCCGCGCCGGGACCTCCGGCGAAGCGCCATCGAGGCGCGATCTCGGAGGAGGCGGCGCCACGCGCGCCGGCTGGTGATCGATGGAGCGACCCGTCGACCGGCCTTTGTCACTGTCGTTCGCCGTGACGTTGCCGGCAAGGCGCCGCCCGCCGAACGCCCGTCCCTCGTGTTGGACAGTGACAGCCGCGGTCTCGTCTTAGCAGCGGCCGGGCGCTGCCGCCGCCGTACACGTCCAGGGCGAGGGCGGCGGCTGCGGGCTGGCGACAGCTTGATCTGTGGGTCTTCACTGGTGGTCGTCGGGCCGCGCTCCTGCCCACCTCACGGTGTTTCCCCTTCTGGCGCTGGGGCTGGGACCGTGCGTCCATCATCGGTCGGCGGCGGCCTCCGGTCGGCCGCGGCCGCGCGCCGTCTCAGCGTCCGAGCCGCGTCCGAGGCGATGGATGGCGTCACCGACCCGGTCTGTCGGCCCCTGACATCCGTCAGCGCCACAGCCATCGGCAGCCGGCGGCTGGCGCATTTGCCAGTGTCTGCGGCCCGCGGACATGGTGCCTTTTAGCGTGATTGTCAGACGCCCGCAGGCGGTCAGGTCCGTGTGTTCGCAGCACCCACGCTGTCTGCCATCACCGACACTTTGGATCATCACTTTCTCGGGCCGGATGCTATCTGGACGTTCCGACTTATTAGTTTACTTTTAGTCACGACCGGGTTTGTGCCTTTATTCTCCGCCGCCGCCGAAGGCGTTTTTCGTTGCGTACGTTACCTGCATGCCTGCTCGGTGTCACGTACGCCATTTGTGGCAATCTGCGACGCGCAGCCCTGAGCGACAAATAACAGTTCGGTTCTGGTGTAGTTCCTATTTATTTTTTACGTTATTATTAACAATGTGCCTGCATATCTTGCGCGAAATGAAGGTCGGATCCGAGGCGGACAAGGCGGATCCAAGGATAAGACTCACTTTAAACAATACTTTATATTTTGGATTGGTCAGTTCGTAAACAACTTTACTAAGCAGTCGTATTTAGGCGGACGATGAGCGCATAACACGTGCGTGATATGTCTGTTATTCGGTGCTATTTAGATTTGCAGGTTAGAGGCTACATTGCGCGTTGCTCTTTTACGTCATTGCTCCCGTGAACTGTCGAGCCTTATCTGAGCAGCTGGTGCTGTAATGTGGCGATGGGTAAAAAATAAATCCCAATGTCAATGGGCATGTTGATCCAACGTTCTTATTCCATTGACATGAGCATTCTCAGCATGGGTTCTCCTGAATATTCTCAGCATGGGTGGCATTTGTACCCAGTTTGTCCCCGCGTCACAAGGGGCTATCCGTCCCTTGACGGAGTGGCGCCGACGGCCCTTAACACGCGACGCTGTCCTTCCAGACGTGGTTGACCCCAACCGGGACGGCTTCATTAGCCTGCAGGAGTACATGGCCTTCATGATCAGCAAGGAGACGGAGAATGTGCAGTCTTCGGAGGAGATCGAGCACGCCTTCCGCGCCATCACCAACGGCGAGCGGCCCTACGTGCTCAAGGAGGAGCTCTACACCGTAGGTGGCCTCTGGCCTGACTCTGGTCGGCCCAGTCCCTTGTCGCCCCCCCCCCCCCCCGCTCTCCACCAGTCAGTCGCTGGTCGCCCCGCTCCCTATACGTCGGTGTTTGGCCGTGCCTGCCCTCCGCCCGTCAGTATCCAGCCCCGCTCCCTATACGTCGGTGTTTGGCTGTGCCTGCCCTCCGCCCGTCAGTATCCAGCCCCGCTCCCTATACGTCGGTGTTTGGCCGTGCCTGCCCTCCGCCCGTCAGTATCCAGCCCCGCTCCCTATACGTCGGTGTTTGGCTGTGCCTGCCCTCCGCCCGTCAGTATCCAGCCCCGCTCCCTATACGTCGGTGTTTGGCTGTGCCTGCCCTCCGCCCGTCAGTATCCAGCCCCGCTCCCTATACGTCGGTGTTTGGCTGTGCCTGCCCTCCGCCCGTCAGTATCCAGCCCCGCTCCCTATACGTCGGTGTTTGGCCGTGCCTGCCCTCCGCCCGTCAGTATCCAGCCCCGCTCTCTGTGCGTCGGTGTTTGGCCGTGCCTGCCCTCCGCCCGTCAGTATCCAGCCCCGCTCCCTATACGTCGGTGTTTGGCCGTGCCTGCCCTCCGCCCGTCAGTATCCAGCCCCGCTCCCTATACGTCGGTGTTTGGCCGTGCCTGCCCTCCGCCCGTCAGTAATCCAGCCCCGCTCCCTATACGTCGGTGTTTGGCTGTGCCTGCCCTCCGGCCGTCAGTATCCAGCCCCGCTCCCTAGACGTCGGTGTTTGGCCGTGCCTGCCCTCCGCCCGTCAGTATCCAGCCCCGCTCCCTATACGTCGGTGTTTGGCCGTGCCTGCCCTCCGCCCGTCAGTATCCAGCCCCGCTCCCTATACGTCGGTGTTTGGCTGTGCCTGCCCTCCGCCCGTCAGTATCCAGCCCCGCTCTCTGTGCGTCGGTGTTTGGCCGTGCCTACCCTCCGCCCGTCAGTATCCAGCCCCGCTCCCTATACGTCGGTGTTTGGCCGTGCCTGCCCTCCGCCCGTCAGTATCCAGCCCCGCTCCCTATACGTCGGTGTTTGGCCGTGCCTGCCCTCCGCCCGTCAGTATCCAGCCCCGCTCCCTATACGTCGGTGTTTGGCTGTGCCTGCCCTCCGCCCGTCAGTATCCAGTCCAGCTCCCTCTGCGCCAGTGCCCAGCTGCCCGGGCTCCGTATGTCTGTTTGTTCGCCAGGTGGCCGGCGGCGCTTATTGCGAGCGGCCCGATATGTGGCTGGCCGCCTGTGCATAGAGCCGCACGCACGCGGGGCCAATCTGTGCCACGTGACAGCGCGACCCCTGGGGAGGCAAACGCCGCCAACCCCCCCCCCCCCTCCCCAGCCCATATCCACTCCGTACGGCGGCCGGGGCGCGGGCGGGCAGGGGTCGGAGCGCCGGGACGGGGCGCCACGCGCACAGCGCCGGACCAGACTGGGTTAAGAATGCTCCTGACTCGTTGATCCCAATTGTGTTGTACTCGAGGCATGTGGCAGTCATTAACGCATGTCGGCGGCCACCTGCCTGTCAGTGCGTCCGTTAAAGGTTATCGTAAAGGTTAGGTTGAAAATTGATGGTGGACTATATTGGCCGGAAGCTGGTATTTTTAGGAACAATTTTTTCCTCGACTGCCTGCCGTCCGCTTGGCAAACTGATGTGCCTGTCCATAGAACACACGACATGAATGTTGTCGCGTTTGAGTCAAGCTTTGCAGGAGTTGGCTGGAGCGGGCCTACTTGGTGAGCCGTCGGCCGCGATGCCCGGACGCGGTGGCCGGCGGTCGCTGCACTGGCGCCGGCGCGCGGCCAGCCGGTCCCCGGCATTCGTGTGCACGAGCCGTAGCTCTGCGACCCAGACACCGCCCCTGGGGGGTGTCTGGCCACCAGGGGACAGTCGCGCTCGTCGGCGGACACGGCTGCGGAGCGGCCACGGTCGCCGGCCGCCGCGGGCGAGTGTGCCGACGGGCCATCACGAGCGCGGCGGCTCGCCCGGCGCCGCCCGGCCGGGCCAATCCGTCAGCAGGGCCGAAGTTGCCAGACGGACGCGTGTCGCGGCGGACGGCCGTCGTCCCGCCGCCGGCCCGGACCGCTGGTCCGGACCGCCGCCGCCCCGCTCGTCACATGCCCGTCGTCCCGTCGTCCCGCCGTCCTGTCGTCCTGTCGTCCTGTCGTCCCGTCGTCCCGTCGTCCCGCCGTCCCGCCGTCCCGCCGTCCCGCCGTCCCGCCGTCCTGTCGTCCTGTCGTCCCGTCGTCCTGTCGTCCCGTCGTCCCGCCGTCCCGCCGTCCCGCCGTCCCGCCGTCCCGCCGTCCCGCCCGTCCTGTCGTCCTGTCGTCCCGTCGTCCTGTCGTCCCGTCGTCCTGTCGTCCGTCGTCCCTGTCGTCCCGTCGTTCCCGTCGTCCAGCCGTCCTGTCGTCCCGTCGTCCCGTCATCCTGTCGTCCTGTCGTCCCGTCGTCCTGTCGTCCTGTCGTCCCGTCGTCCTGTCGTCCTGTCGTCCCGTCGTCCTGTCGGTCCCGTCGTCCTGTCGTCCCGTCGTCCTGTCGTCCCGTCGTCCTGTCGTCCCCGTCGTCCTGTCGTCCCGTCGTCCTGTCGTCCCGTCGTCCGTCGTCCCGCCGTCCTGTCGTCCCGTCGTCCCGTCATCCTGTCGTCCTGTCGTCCCGTCGTCCCGTCGTCCTGTCGTCCTGTCGTCCCGTCGTCCTGTCGTCCCGTCGTCCTGTCGTCCCGTCGTCCTGTCGTCCCGTCGTCCTGTCGTCCCGTCGTCCCGCCGTCCCGTCGTCCCGCCGTCCCGCCGTCCCGCCGTCCCGCCGTCCTGTCGTCCTGTCGTCCCGTCGTCCTGTCGTCCCGTCGTCCTGTCGTCCCGTCGTCCCGTCGTCCCGTCGTCCCGCCGTCCCGCCGTCCTGTCGTCCCGTCATCCTGTCATCCTGTCGTCCTGTCGTCCCGTCGTCCTGTCGTCCCGTCGTCCTGTGGTCGCGGCGGCGACGCGGCCGGCCGGCGGGTTTGTCCCGTCGCCACCCACCTCGGTGCTGGGAAGCCGATCTGCGGCAACAGCTCGTGCAAACGAGGTCGACGGCTCGACAGTGGTGAACCCCCAGCTCTCGGGTGCCGCCTCACATTGCGTGCTCTCCTGGCTGCAGTAATGCACGCATCCTATGACTTTCTTGAGAGCAGTGACACAGATCGCGACCTCTGGGTGGTCCGCTCGGCGCGAGGCAACTCACGAGATTTCGCTTCACACCGGCTATTTGCAGTGTTGGATCGAGTGAGACTGCTTCCAATGGTTTTGATACGGTCTTAAACCCGATGATGTTTTAGATCCAATTGGACGCGTATCAATAGGAAGCTAAGCTAGGTCGTAGCCAGCCAAGTATTCTGGGCGGAGGGTCCTGGGTCCTAGCGGGAAGCGTTAACAGCGTGATACTGTGTCGTAACAGAAGTATGGCATGTGTTTGAGTAGCGGCTTGTATTGTCCGCATCGGGCCCCTGTCATTAACACAGCTCTGGGGTTCCGTGGGCCTTTGGAGTAGCGCGTTGTCGCGGCGACGGCTCATCCCGTCTGGGACCGCAAGGCTGAGGCGTTTCTTGGTAAATCCGGGCCAAGCCGTCGTTTCGTCGGTAGCTAGCCACCTTTGGCTGTTAGCATCGAGTCCGTGGGGGCGAGAGCGAGAGGGAGAGGGGGAGAGAGAGGGGGGGGGGGGGCAGGGAAACGTCGGCCGCTCTATGTTAGGCCCGCCCATGGTTTTGAGGCCGTCACGCGGGACGACCGCCGCTGCGGTTTGCCGTCGTTACGATCGTCACGTCGTTTGTCCGGAGCAGCCAGTGCTGTTCCGAGGGCGTTCGAAGCGTCGGCCGAGGCCCCGCGTCGCGGACACAGTGCACTCCGGCGCACCACCGCGCCGCTGATTCAGTGGCCCGCGCCCGGACACAGCCGTCGTCCGTAAATCAGAGCGCGCCGGAAGAGGCCGGGCGACGCGCCTCCGTCTCGAGGCAACAGAGTCACCTGCCCGGCTGCGGCGGCAGCCGGGCAACGCGCCTCCGTCTCGAGGCAACAGAGTCACCCGCCCGGCTGCGGCGGCGGCCGGCCGACGCGCCTCCGTCTCGAGGCAGCAGAGTCACCCGCCCGGCTGCGGCGGCGGCCGGCCGACGCGCCTCCGTCTCGAGACAACAGAGTCACCCGCCCGGCTGCGGCGGCGGCCGGCCGACGCGCCTCCGTCTCGAGACAACAGAGTCACCCGCCCGGCTGCGGCGGCGGCCGGGCGCGCCGGCTGTGCTGCGCCGGGCGTCGGCTCCACTGTGGCGGGGAGACGCCGGCACGAGCCGACCGAGCGCGCTCGCTCGCTCTCTCGTGCCGCCAGTGACGCTTCGCGATAAATAGCCCGGAGTGCTATTCGGTCTGGCGGCCGGGGCGGCGGCCGACGCTTGGTGCCACATTGTTCCACATTTCCTTCGGCGTTGCTGGCACGGTCCCGTTCAATACACAGCGCTCCGTCTCCCTCTCACATCGATTACGTGTCCATATCACTTAGAACAAGCGCTTTATTGAAACATGGTCGTTTTTGTGATTTAAGTCTCACTCCTTTATTAAAGCACGGTCGCTATTTCTTATGATCTTAGTCGCATCTGTGATGGCTCACTGGCTTGCAGTGCTTAGCGGCACAGCGTCAGCTGGTCGGTTGCTGGCCGCTGTGCTGGTGGCGTCCGTGCCTGGGCCGTCACCTGCCGGCCGCGCCGCTCTGTCAACAGACGCGCACCGGCCGGCGCCGGCCCCGGCCCCGGAGTCCGTCGTCGTTATCACGGCCGGTGCGCAGCCGGGCGCTGACTGATGGCCCGATATGGCTCGGCCAGGGCCGCTTTTTCCGGCGCCCGACTGCAAATACCCGGTAATGGAAGATGATGCGGGCGGTACGTGTGCCGCGTGGCGCGCTGTTTACCCGGCTCAGACCGAGACCGTTGGGCGTCGCCGTTCCTTTGGCTCCGTAGATGCCGACAGCCCATGCAGCCGGGATAAGCATGTGTCCGGACGTAAGCCACCTGCTGGGCCAGGAGGGCTGCGTAGTCGGATTCGTGGCTGTGCGGTCACTTTCCCTTCCACGCGTTCATGCGTAGCGTCCTGTTGGTTGTGACTGACGTGTTCCCGTGCGCTGCTTGGCGTCGGACGTCGATTCTCTCCCCGCTCTCCCCGCCGTCGGACGGCGGCGGCCGAAGCCCGCGATGATAGGGTTCGGACCTTGGCGACGGGTGGCAGGATCAATGGTGATGACGGTCGCGCCACACGCCGGTCACTGACACTTGTGGCGCGGCTCGCCCGCTGGCGCGCGGCCGGCCGCAGACCGGCCGGCCGACACGCGCCGGGCCGGGACAGGTGGCGGCGGGTTCGGCGGATGAGACTGTCGTGACGCCTGCGTGGGGCGGCCGTCAGATTCCCTGTCGGTGGGACTGTCGTGACGCCCGGCGTGGGGCGGCCGTCAGATCTCCTGCGGGCGTGGGGCGGCCGTCAGATCCGCTGCCGGCCAGCTGGGCGTGCGCCGCTGTTTACCAGCGGCGCGGCGCCGCCGAGCCCGCCTATCGACCGGGCCCGTCTCGCACCTCCGTCCGCCGTGCCGGCCAGAAGGCGAAATCAGCGGCGTCCGCGGCCCCAGCGGCCCGTGCGGGATCAATGGGATGGCGGCGCAGCCCTGACCGTGGCCGCATGGGCGATCGATTCGTGCACCTTCCCTGCAGTCGGGGGCCGACGGCCGGCCGCCGGCCGAGGGCCGCATGATACCCGACCCGCCGAGAAGACGACGGTCGGGACCGAGGCGGCGGAGGCAGCGGTGCCAGGCCGGCGGCCAGCGTTTGGGACGCCCGGCACCGACAAACGCCGCCCAGCGCCAGGCCGCTATTCCGGCCGCCTTCCGCCCGCCGCTCTGACGGCTGCTCCGAGAGTTTCTGTCGAGGGGCGAGCGCTGTTTGTCGGCCTGGCGTCTCTCAGCGCCGCTCCTTTGTGAGCCGGTGCCCGTCGGCGGTGGAGATTTGAACGCTGCTGACGTGGCGTGGTTCCGGCCGAGTCGACCGGCGCCCGGGCTTCTGGCCGGGATCCCTGCGTGGCGAGCCGCGCGCGACTGAGCTGCTGGCTTTCCTCCCCACCTGGTCCTCGCCGCCACGCACCCGTGCACCCGTACCTGTTGAAGTAACGATCGGTCGTGCGCGGAGCACACCGGGCAAATGTGATAAGCAGGCTCAGCGGGCTTTGCCCTGAGGGCTTTGGCGTGGGTTTGACGGGATGTGTGGACGGCGTTGGGATGGCGGTGTTAGGCGTCTCGCAATTTATGACATTGTCGCCGTTGTTTGAGTTTCTTGACTGAAACAGCTGACGAATTGTGTTTGTCGTCGTATCCGTGTATTGCATTTTTACAAACACACCTGTAACGTGTTCTATAATATATATATATATATATATATATATATATATATATATATATATATATATCACACATTGGCAGATGTGTGGCTGGCCCTTAACGCGCTGCTGTGGGAATACTGCCGTCCGGTTGAACAGCTGTGGCTCGTTTAATTTACAGCTCATCCTGTGTTCCCACCGCGTGCAAGATGTTGCTGCTGTCGTATCAGTGACAACACGAGTTGGCGGTTGCAAGGGCTTGTTCGACGGCGTTCCGGGCTACAGGAGCAGCTGTGGGGCGGACCGCCACTCCCCTGCCCCTGACCCTGACCCTGCCCCTGTCCCTGTTCTGCACGGCACCGCACTCACACGGTCTCCTCCGCCGGCAGAACCTCAGCAAGGAGATGGCAGACTACTGCGCCGACCGAATGAAGCCATACACGGACCCCAACACCGAGAGACAGATCCCCAACGCATTCGACTACGTCGACTTCACGCGTTCGCTGTTCCAGAACTAGGCCGCGCCGGCCGGTGGCCTCGCTTTGTCTTATCTCTCGCGATCGTAGCAGCTGTCTGGCCGTGCCGTGCGTCGGCTGACAGACCCAGTCACTATTTATCTTGTGTTGTAGTGCGCAGCTTTTTGCTCGGAGCGGGCGAGCGGCGGACGGCGGCGCGCTCGGACGGCTGGTGGTGCGTACGCGCCCAGGCCGTCCGCTACTCCGACCGGGCGCATAGTTATCGGTGTTCACCTGGTGGCGCACACGGTGCCGGCTCCGGCTCCGGCTCCGGCTCGGGCTCCGGCTCGGGCTCCGGCTCTGGCTCTGGCTCTGGCTCTGGCTCTGGCTCCGGCTCCGGCTCTGGCACCGGCACCGGCACCGGCTCTGGCTCTGGCTCCGGCTCGGGCTCCGGCTCGGGCTCCGGCTCTGGCTCCGGCTCTGGCTCTGGCTCCGGCACCGGCACCGGCACCGGCACGCTGACGCTCGACACCTCACCGACGCCGGCCGCTGCCGAGCTTGTCAGACCGCGGTCGCCGAGCCTGCTCCGGCATTCACCCGCATTATTTCTGCTAGTGGCCAGTGGTGAAGGCAGCTTGGCTGGCGGTTGTCCGGTGCGCGCCGCTGCCGCCGGCGGGCCATCGCGTCCTATATGTCCGGTATACGGCGCTGCATGTCGCCGCCAGCGCGGCCGGCCGCTGTCTCCCTCAATAAACAGAGCGTCTCCGCTGCCGGGCGTCTCCGTCCGCCCGTCTGTTGGTCCGTCTGTCTGCAGCCGGGACGTCGATAGCGGCGCGCGAGACCGCCGCCCGCTCCCTGGAGAGCAGGCCAGGTGGGCGTTGCAGGCCGGCGCCGGCGGCCCGCACGCTCCGGCACGGGAGCGGCCGCCTGGGCCAAGAGTGGTCACCGAGGCCAGGAGCCGCTCTTGAGGCCAGGAGCCGCTCTTGAGGCCAGGAGCGCCCGTCGAGGCCAGGAGCGGCTGCCCAGGCGAGGGGCGGCTGCCCAGGCGAGGGGCGGCTGCCGAGGCGAGGAGCGACCCGCCGAGGCGAGCGTGCGCAGGTCACGGACAGTGGCGGGCGCCGGCGGCCGACACCGCCCGCACAAGCCACCGGCGACCAGACGCTTCGACTACCCATATCGAACACTGAGACGGCCGCCACTCGGTGTCACACGCACACGCACACGCACACGCACACGCACACGCACACGCACACGCACACGCACACGCACACGCACACGCACACACACACACACACACACACACACACACACACACACACACACACACACACACACACACACACACACACACACACACACACACACACACACACCGCCGATGCCGATCCAAACATACGGCAGGTGCATCACATGTGCTGGCCACGCAGAAGACCAAGGCTCAGCTGATGCAGACCGCTGGTACCGATCCAACGCGCGGGCCGATACCGGCTGGCAAAGAACGTCGATACGAGTCACCCCAGAGCTCCAGCAGAAGCCCGTAGACGGGCAGTACGGACCGGGACAGATCGACAATGCTGACTGCTGACAATGACGCGTACAAAATACTGGGGCGGGCCGCATGGGCCTGGCACGTCTCTCGTTGAATGGCGTACTTGCTGGCGCACACCGTCGGTTAGTGTCCGTTCAAAGTGCCGACACCGGCCCACGCAGATTGCCTATGCCCATCCGCTCAGCCTGACAAACAGACTGCCGGCGGGGTCCGCACGGACTGCCGATGTTGGCATGCGTAGGCTGCCCTTTGATTGATAAACATATGCCGCGGAGTGGCATTTGATTTGGCGCAGCGTGTCTGGGAAACTAGGGATACGGGGTTTGATTTCCCGCGGTACCCGTGCAATCTATCAGGACAAGAGGCGGCGGCGGCATACAGCCTCAGTTACTCATTACGTCTTACATCACCAATGACAACAGCAAACATGTCAACAGCTTTGAAGTATAACACACACGTCATCTACAACGTGCGCCTGCGAAATTTAGAAATATGTCCACAACAGGCGTGGCTGTGGCGTTTTTCGATAATGGATAACCGCAGGTGTTTGCCTCATGCGAATTAACGGGATGTAACAGGCCAGGAATATTTCACCGGCCGCTCTGACTGTGCGCCCGTTACGTACTTAACAGACTGCCCGCATCTCAGAGTAAGGATGATAGCGGTTTGATCATCGGTTCACCTGTCAACATCTCACAGCCGTCCCCCCCCCCCCCCCCTACATCGTAAGGATTCCAACTGGGGTGACGCGGAACGAACTGAACGGGTCCGTTCCGGTCATATGCGGAATGGAATAATTGACACAAAGTCATGACAAAACAGACTGTACGTGACACCTTCATATTTCACGGTAGCAGCTCCCACGTCAGAACATGGTTCTAGCAGCCTATGAGTTATTCGTGCATTCGAACGTGTACGCGTGCATCAGACATGAATTTTCGGGCGATGCAGCAGAATGCGTGACCAGTATGCTGGCCTACAAGGCATTCACTGTAATTGGCGTCATGATTCCGATTCATTCTGGTTCTGGAAGATAATTTTGCACTTAGCTGAACCTTTATAGGCATGTGAACCCCTTCAAATAAATAACCTATCCGAAGCGTTGTCTGGCATGGTTGCAACATTGCCCAATGCTTGCCAGACAGACGGGTGATTTACGAAGCTCTTTAGATATATATTAGATGGCGATATTTCAAATAATTTGACGGTAACTTGTGCGCAAGCGGCATAAATCTTCCAAGGATCCAACATGGTCGTGATCTTTAATTAGCTGTGCCTGTATGCAGCGTATGAGCCGCCCTGACATCGACTGTAAATTGTGATCGAAGTTGCGCTCCGCATCTAATACAGCTTGAGTAAGCTTGTTTAGCCATGTTTCCGCTTCATTTCACCTATTTTTTGTTATCATGATGTAATATGCGACTGGGCGACCTTGCTTGACCTGGCAAAGGCCTTCCGCAGAAATGTAAACAGGGCCTCAGTCAGGACTTTCTTGAGGGAGGGGCCCGGAGCTTGGGAAATGTGCATCATTTCTCCAAGGGCATGCTGAATGACATGATGAAATGACGACATTCCTCCACGGCATTCCTCCATGACATGTCTCCATGGCACGCAATGCTGTCCCATCGTACTGCCAATACTGTCCGCCATACCACTGGCCCTGTGTCATCATACAACTGATACTGTCCCACCTTACCGCCGATGGCGCACCGTCGTGCCGCCGATACCGTCTCGCTATACCACTGAAACTGTACCGCCATACAACCGATATAATCCCACCGTACTGCCGATGTTGTACCGCCTGACAACCGATACTGTTCCGCTGTGCAGCCAATCTTGTCCCGCCATCCCACCGACACTGCACCTTCGTACACTCAGTGCTGTCCCACCGATGTCGTTCCGCCGTGCTGTACCTGTACCCGTATGCTGTACCGTCGCACCGCCGGTACTGCCCCGCCGCACATCCGATACTGCCCCACCGTACATCCGATGCTGTCCCGCCGTGCATCCGATACTGTCCCGCCGTACACCCGATACTGTCCCGCCGGTCACACGGTCTACGATCTACTAACTAACACGGTCAGCGGAGCAGCCCTGCACTAACTAACACGGTTGGCGGAGCAGCCCTGCACCTAACTAACACGGTCAGCGGAGCAACCCTGCACCAACTAACACGGTTGGCGGAGCAGCCCTGAACTAACTAATACGGCTGACGAAGCAGCGCTGCGCTAACTAGCACGGTTAACGGAGCAGCCCTGCATTAACTAACACGGCTGGCGGTGCAGTGCTGCACTAACTAACATGACTGACGGAACAGCGCTGCACTAACTAACACGGTTAATGGAGCAGCCGTGCATTAAGTAACACGGCTGGCGGTGCAGCGCTGCACAAACTAATACGGCTGACAGAACAGCGCTGCACTAACTAACACGGTCAACGGAGCAGCCCTGCATTAACTAACACGGTTGACGGTGCAGCGCTGCACTAACTAACACGGCTGACGGAACAGCGCTGCACTAACCAACACGTTTAACGGAGCAGCCCTGCATTAACTAACACGGCTGGCGGTGCAGCGCTGCGCTAACTAACACGGCTGACGGAGCAGCGCTGCAGTAACACGGCTAATGGAGCAGCCCTGCACTAACCAACACGGTTAACGGAGTAGCCCTGCATTAACTAACACGGCTGGCGGTGCAGCGCTGCACTAACACGGCTGACGGAGCAGCGCTGCACTAACTAACACGGTTAACGGAGCAGCCCTGCACTAACAGTCAGTAGAGCAGCCCAGCACTAACTTACACGGTTAGCGGAGTAGCGCTCTCTCGCGCGCGAACGTTTCAAGTGTTATGCATCGCAGCGCTTTTGCCGTCAGGAACTTTTTTGCAAGCAGCGGTACCTTGCGTCGTGGAGGCATGCTATCATTTGGTGAGCGAGGCGCGCAATCAATTAATTACGTACAGTTCACAGCGGAGGCAGCGTCAGAATGACATCATTGATCCTGAAAAATTGCGTCGTTTATTATGGGTTTTGGTACTTTTCCGTGCCTCATGGCGTTGCATAATACCTTGAATCTAGAGTCATGGCTCGACCGGTTGAAAAGACACTGATCGATGGCTGCAACATCACACGGAAAAGTTAGACACGCGTCTGCTAGCCAATCCATTCGGTAGAGGATCACAAACCATCAATGCATACAGCGTATAGGCCAGCTAAGCCACAGCATTTTTGATTATATTATGTTGTGGCACCAGGCAGGAGAGGCGCTGTAACTAGGGCTGCCGATGTATATGACTTTTAGCAGCGCAGTAGTCATGAATCACGCCGGGAAAACATAAGATTGTTGAATATTCTCCTAGCTTCACTGCTCATCGTCCCGTCCTTCTACAGCGGGCGTGTCGTCTGTAATGACTGAGTTGGTATTCCGGAGGTGACGGCACCAGTGCGATGACACCACGCTGGTTGTTCACCACAAGGTCCGTTACATGAGGGTTTTCTTGCCTAGGCAGTCATGTGGTAGCTTTATTTTAGGTAGAACAAACCGGGATAGTTTTGTAAGTAGTTTTACAGTCTGACATATTTTTGATGACAGATAGGCGTGCTGCAAAGTTCAATACCGTTCAACAGAGAGAGAGAGAGAGAGAGAGAGAGAGAGAGAGAGAGAAGAGAGAGAGAGAGAGAGAGAGAGAGAGAGAGAGAGAGAGAGAGAGAGAGAGAGAGAGAGAGAGAGAGAGAGAGAGAGAGAGAGAGAGAGAGAGAGAGAGAGAGAGAGAGAGAGGAGAGAGAGATTGTGTATGTAGGAACTGGAGGCCCTGCAGTATTCAACATTGCCTCATCCAAAT